ATGCTTTGCCCTCTTGAGGAACAGCTTGCAAACCAATGTGGCCAAAGTAGCAAGGTTTCAAAGGTGACTTGTAGGATATAAATTCAAAGAAACAGCCAATGTAAAACCAAATTGATTGGTCTTTGTGTTAACAATCAGGTATGGCATCTGGTAAGTGTCTTCGTTCCTTATTATTATTCTAAATTTCTATGAATTTAGGGGCTTAAGACAACACAAATGTGTTATCATAGTTCTGGAGGCCTGAAATCCCAAATCAGCCAGCAGAGCTGCCCTTGTTATAGGGTCAAGAGAAGCGCCCCTTGCCTTTTCTTCACATCCCTTGAGCATGGCCCTTTACTGTATGCCAAGAGTATAGAATCTTCTGGTCAGAGACCTCCAATCTAGTTCCTAATTGTGCTGATTTAAATGTGAAAGGCCCCCATTGGCTCATACGTTTGAATATTTGGTCCCCAGTTGGTGGAACTGTTTGGGAAGGTCTAGGAGGTGTGCTTTTTTGCTGGAGGAGATGTGTCATTGGGGGTGGGCTTCAAGGCTTCCAAAGCCCCCTGCCGTCCCCAGCGTGTTCATTACAGTTTGAGCTATAACCTCTCAGCTGTTTCTGATGCTATACCTTTGCTCCACTATCGTGGACTCTAATCTGCTGAAGCCAGAGGCCCAATTAAGTGCTTTCTTTTATAAGTTACTTTGGCCATGGTGTCTTATCCCAGCAATAGGAAGCAAGTGATACACTGAATCTCTCACTCTAGCTCAGACTTCCTGTCTCCTTTTCACGGACTCTTGGATTATCTGAGACTGTTGAAATAATCCATGAAAAAAAACCACCTTGCCTCAAAATCTTCATTTTGGCCACACCTGCAAGTCTGCAAAGTCCTTTTTGCTGTTCACAGGTTCAAAGGGTCAGGGTGTGGATGTATCAAAGACAGGAAAGGATGATGGTGGAGAAGGGGACTGATTTTCAGTGCACCTTGTTTGAGCAATGTGTGGTTTCTGAGTCTAAAACACACACTCAATAATCAGAGAAGGTGAAGGCAATTGGGCATGGTATGATTTTTCTAGACAATTCTCATAGCAATGTAAAATTCCCTGATTCTAATATTACTCATATCTCCCTCTTTAGACACCTGCCTGGAAAAGAGTAGAAATGAACCATGTCAGTCTACTGACAAGGGAAGAATCTTTTCACCTAAGAACAAAACATATTTCTAGTATCCATTCCACATTTTCCTTTTAGGTGTATTTTTAAAAATCAAATGAATTTTCAGCATTTAACTTACTATCAGCCCCTCCGTTGGGAATGAATCCTCCAAGTATTAAGTTAGAAGGTTTGGGCTGTATTCCTAAGTAACTGGCACCTGTCTGTGGTGGAGCAACACTGCCTGTCATCATGATGGAGCCTTCAGAGAAAGCCTGTGAAGGTTGGGGTGGGTGCTGATGCAAATCAGTGACAATTGTGTATGTGTGACCTAGAGTGAGTATGTCCCACTGCATGGGGGGCCTTTAACTTGAAATGTGGTATTGCTGCACATCAGTGCCATGGTGAGTCTGGTGTGCTGCCAAAGGCAGGAAAATATTCCAGAAAGAAGCATATTGTAAAGGAGCCCAAAACAGCCCTGTGCTCTTCCACCACAAGAAAGAGAAGCCCTGAGATAATGAGATTCAAATTGAGGGAGCGTTTGGGCTGCAGCTCACATTCATCTGGAGTGTTCTCTGTGATGTTGTTCCTTGTTGGGAACAACCCGTGAAATGTGCCACGTACAACATGTGGCATTACACACTTTCCAAGTGAGCAGCATAGTGCCGGCTGACCTCCGAGAGGCACTCAACAGGGCTGCTGCTCTAATGTTCTTTGGTCTTCTAGAAGTTCAAGTTTTTTTTTTTTTTTTTGTCCAGGAAAATCTCTGTGACAAGAGGAAGATGAAAACCTTGGATACATGTCCAAAATAGCTTCAGCGAGGGGGTTTAAATTTTGCTCTCTGAAAACAAGACCATCTTATTAATGTTGGTTGGGCTTCTCTTAAAGAGCAGACCCTCCCAAAGACATCATTAAGAGACAGCTTGGGTAGAAGAAGAACAAAAATGATGGAGGCCCTCCGAGGCTGTCTTTATTCTGCAATCCTTTCTTAGATCATATTTGCTCCGTTGCCAGGGTTATGAATCTGTCTCTGTTGTGGAATGATGCCACGTATACTGGAACATGGAAATTAATATACGAAAAGAATGTTTTATGAAAGAAATAAGCCAGAACTATGCTGGTATGGATCAGCCTCTAAAACAAGGAAAGGAGCTGAGGTGATTCATCTCTGAGTCTGGACCCCTTCCCCAAGCCCACCTCAGTCAGACCCTCCCAGCAACTGACTGTGAGCAGATGCTCGTTTACACCCTTCCGTAAGGAAGAAGATGCATCAGTATTAGTGGCTTTTCTTACGCTCTGACAAAGGGATCTTCAGGACAGGAGGGTCTATTTAGGCTCACAGTTTGAGGGTACAAGCCCTCCTGATGGGGAACATGTGATGGCAAGAGCGGCGTGTGGTTGCTGGTCACATGGCATCTGCAGTTGGGAGAGAGAGATGAATGCTGGCTCTTGGCTACCTTCCTCTTTTTTGTGTGCAGTGTAGAACCCCAGCTGGAACTGTGCTACCCACATTTAGGATGAGTCTTCGCACCTCAATGAATATAATCTAGATATTCTTATAGACACACCCAGGAGCCTGTCTTTCGAATGACTTCAGAACCTGACAAACTGATGGTGTTTACTTCCATAGTACCTGAACTATTTTTTTTTTTAAGTTCTTTCTTGTCTCAAGCACTGGCTTATAGACAAGGCTTCCTTGAAGTCTGCAAAGTATGATTATTTAGAGTACTTCTATTTGGTGGTGAATGGTGTTTTATACCTTGAACTGGATATCTGTATTTTACCTAAACATTAATATTTTATTGTTTTACATTACCTAGGCAAGTATGTATAAATAGAGACAAATGACATTTTGGGGTATTTGACTTTTTTTTTTAAAATTAATCAGCTTTAGTGTTATAGCAGTTTCAAGCTTATAGCAAGACTGAGCTAAATGCACTGAGTTCACACTGCAGCCTGACACACTTGGCCCTCCCCCAAACCAATGTGCTTCCTTTGTTGAACCTTCCTTATCTCCCAAAGACCACAGCTTACATTAAAGCACACTCTTCATTTGTACTTCTGGAGGTGTGGACAAATATGGATGGCATGTGTGCACCACAATAGTGCCATCTGATGTAGTCACAGACTGCTCTAAAAATCCTCTGTGATCTTCCTATTCATTTCATGTTCTCTCCGGACCCTTAATTTGTCTCTATGCTTTTGCCTTTTCCAGAGTGTCATAAAAGTGGAATTATACAGGATACTACCTTCTCAGATTGTCTCTTTTTACTTTGTTATATGCGTTTATGTTTCCTTCATGTCTTTGCATTATTTTGTAGCTCACTTCTTCTTACCCTTCAATAATGTTCCATTGTGCAGGTAAACCACAGTCTACTTATTTATTCAAAAATCAAAGATTCTCTTGGTTGCTTTCACACCTTGGCAGTTATGATTCAAGCTGCCATCATCATGCATATATAGGTTTTTTGGTTGATATAATTTCAGTTCATTTGGTTGGATACCAAGTGTCTTAGTTTTCTATTTGTTTCTGTGATAAAACACTGATCAAAACCAACTTGAGGGGGAAAGGTTTTATAACATCTTCCCTTGTCCATCATCAAGGGAAGCCAGGTCAAGAGCTTAAGGCAGGAATCTGGAGGCAGGAACTGAAGCATAGACCATGGAGGGGTGCTGCTTACCAGCTTTTTTCCTTTGATTTGCTCAGCCTGCTTTCTTATGCAACCCAGGCCACCTGCCTAAGGTTAGTACTGCCGATAGTAGGCATCAAAATCAACTAGAAACTAAGAAAATGCCTCAAAGATGTGTCCAAAGTACAATCGGATGAAAACAATTTCTTAATTGAGATTCCCTCTTCCCAGGCATGTCCATGTTTTTTGTCAAATTGACAAAAACTGACTCTGATGCCAAGGAATGTGATTATTGGATCATATATCAAGAGTATGTTTGGTTTTATAATAAATTGCCAAATTGTCTTCCAAAATGGACATGCATTTTGTATTCCCAGCAGTCAGGAATGGGAGTTCCCATTGCTCCACATCTCTATCAGCTATTGGCAGTGTCTGTGTTCTGGCTTTGGGCCATTCTTGCAGATGTGTAGTGATACCTCATATTTGCTTCAATTTGTAATTCTCTAGTGGCCTATAGAGATGTTGAACATCTTTTCAGATGTACACTTGGAATACCTATATGTTCTTTGGTAAAATGCCTTTTACTTGTTTTTACAATTGGCTTGTTCATTGTCTTTCAAGAGCTCAGTGTATAGTTTGGACAACCAGTGCTTTTTAATCAAATGTGTCTTCTTCAAGTACTCTCTTCCAGTCATTGGCTTGTCAAATTCTTTTGACATTGTTTTTCACAGAATGCAAGTTTTTAATATTAAGAAAGTCCACCATGAAAATGATTTATTTCATAGACTATGCTTTGGTGTGGTGTCTAAAAAGTCACCTAACACACGGTAGGTCATCTAAATTTTCTCCTGAGTTGTCATCTAGGGTTTTTGTGATTTTTGTACCTACCATTTGGGTCTGTGATCTACTGTGAGCTACATTGTATGAAAATTAGTGTGTGAGCCCAGGTTCATTTTTTTTTGACATTGGTATCTAATTACTCTTTAAAAGATGAACTTTTTACATTTACTATGTGCTTGTGTGTGTGTGTGTGTGCACGTGTGTATGCACGTGCGCGCGTGCATGCATACATGTGTGCTACAGTGGATGTGTGGCAGTCAGATGAAAACCTGTGGGAGTCCGTTCTCCCTTTCCACCCTGTGGGTTCCAGTGGTTTCAGTCTAGGTTATCAGTCGTGGTGGTGAGAGCCTTCGCCTGCTGAGCCATCTTACAAGCCCAGATGAACTTTTTTTTTTTTTTTTAACATTTTGTATTTTATTCTTTTTAGGGAAGACACACAGTTTCACTAGAAACAATGATTTTTCTCACACAGTAGAAAAAAGGCCTTTTAAAAAATCTGCTGTCCCAGATGAAAAGTCTACCCAGCAAGCACTGGGCCAGTTCTGAGAGGAGGAACCAATGTGGTGGAAGTTACCTACAGGAAGTTGAGTGCAGAGGTCTCCACAAGTCTTGTTCAGTTCTGTGAGGCTCCAGGTGCTCTGACTAGGATGGGGCTGGCTCACTCCCCAGGTGGCTGCATTTGCTTACAGAACTCATCAAACTGCTGCTGCTCCAGCTCTGTCATGACTCTGTTGAGAGCGTAGATCTCTGCTCTTTGTCTTTGCTTCAGCTCCTGCTGCGCAGATTTCTGCTTAGCCTTCTCCACTCTGAAGGCAGGTTCTTTAACTTTGGGTTTTTCTTTCGGGCCAGGTGGATCCATGGCTTGGCTTCTGAATGCTTCTTGGTCAGCTCTGACCCGGCCTGGGGCTCCGGGCCTCCGCCACGTCGCAGACCAGGCCCCACGCGGGGTTTACCCTCGCCTTCCCCTTCGGCGGGACCGGGGCACCCACCCAGATGAACTTTTAAAGATAATAGATTAAAATATTTAAAGTTATGGTTTAAATCGGATTACAGAGGGCTAAAGAGGTAGCTCAGCCATGAAGCGCAGTTGCTGCTCTCCCAGAGGACTTGAGTAGGGTTCCAAGTGTCCACATTAGGTCACTCACAACCACCTGCAAGTTCATCTCCAAAGGGTCTGACCCTCCCTTTTTCTGGCATGCAGAGACACAAATACACACATATGCATTGATTTAAGGACAATTAATCTTTCAATTGGAAGACGTTTTGCTAAGGGAAATAAGCCACACACAGAGGAGCAATCACTGTATGTTCTCAGTCGCAGGTGGAAGCTGGAATGTTGGCCATGGCAGTGGGAAAAAGAAGCAATGTTTATTAGAGCCTAGAAAGGCTGTGGGTGGAAGGGATGGAGAGAGCTTGGTTGATGGGTACAGTAGAGAAACTGGATGGAGAAACAACCTCCGATGCTGTAGCACAGTAGAATAACTATGGCAGAATATTTCAATATAGTTAGTAGAGACTTGAAAGGTTCCCAGCAAAGAAATGATAAGTGTCCTATGTGATTGACGTGCCAGTTATCATGATTTGGTCATTACACATTTTATACACATATTAAAATGTCACTCCATACCACATAAATAATACAATTGCTATGTCAAAAATTAAAAAAAAAAAACCTGCATTCTTGCAAAGAAACAGCTCTGAATTAGAAGCACCTATTGTACCAGTCAAGACAGTGTCATGAAGTGACTAAGATACTTCATTCAATCCCGCCTTGAGAAAGTGCTAGCCCATGCAAACGTGTCCAAGCCTCATTTGTACTGCACCTGCTCCCGTAGGTCTTTGATAGGAAAGTGAATTGACCCTATTTAGAAATTGACCTAAAAAACTTGGTGTTCTGATTCCTGCCCCTGGTCTTTTTGTATGTGTGATAACTCTAGAAACAAACTTGTTTTCCCTGGCAGATAATCTTGCAATAACAATGTGGTCACCAGAACGCTCCCTCATTCAGGGAAGGGCCTGAGATGCAGCCTAAGGTCTCCTGTAGAAAGTTGCAGCGGAAGAATAAGAATGTACTGTTCTCGTGAAAGGCTATAATTAAACCAATGTATTTTCCTGCCGTCTGATCTTGCTAGAGTAGGAACACTCAGTTCTGTTCATTCAGAAAGAGCGGTTTTGCTGAAAATCAAACTTTAGGTTTTGTTGTTTCTTTCAGTCTTGATATGTGGTCTAATATGTATTTGAATGTGGTAGTTACATATAGAACCTATTGAAAAAAAAACCGGTCCGTGTTTTCACTTGGGGGTCTTGCTGTCAGCTGTGACTTACGGCCCCCAATCACCTCCTACTCCTTGTTGCTGTATTACGAGTGGTCACAGTAAAGGAGTCAAAAGATAGTGAGGCCGGGCCAGTGGGATAATTTATCTCTTGTCTACTCCTTTGGAGGGAAGGCCTTGGCTTCATGCCAGAGATGATAAACAGCCGCAGTATCCGCGCAGCAAGGTGTCAGGTTGATGATTGAGCATCTGGGTGTGTGCAGGTTGCTGCAGGCACGTCGCGGGGTATTTGCATGTTGCAAATATTTGCTCTTTGGATGGAGTGAGCACGTGGAAGAAGTACTGCAGCAAATGTAAAAACTGGTCTTGTCCCTATGGGATCAGCTAGCTATCAGTGACCTGACTGTCTTGAAGTCAGACATCAGCACCACTTTCTTAAGTCCTTTTCTCAATTCATTTAGACAGGATAGAGCAATTTAGGAAGCCCAAGAAATGGAAGAAATGGCTGTGTACAGACTCGCGTCTACTATGAAGGGATTGATCTGTCCTAAGGTCACTATTATCTTGTAAATGATGCAAAACACATTAAAATTGTGATATTTTATCCTCTCCTTGTTGCTATTCACAAACAAATGTATTATCTCATTCTTATGTAGAACATTTGTTATGAACTAAGCTTAAAATTGCACTCTCCGGGCACATGGATTTGAACAGTTGGTTTCCAGCTGCTGGTAGTGATCTGGAGATGGAGGCACATTTAGGAGGAGGGGCCTAGCTGGGGGTAAGTAGATCTCTAGAGGGCGGGCCCTGAGGTTTTGTAGCCAAGCCTTGCTCCCTTCCCCATCTGTTTCCTGATTCTCCACAATTGATGTAGTAACTAGTTAACCTCATGGTCCTACCTGCATGCCTTGCTTGCTGTGACAAATGGTATCCCTTCAAACTGTGAACCAGAAAAAAAAAATCACCCCCTTTAAATTGTTTTTTTTCAGGTATTTTATCATAACAATGGGAATAGTAAGCAATAGGTTATGTTTTCTTTTTAAAAATCCAAATAGGGTTACCCGTACTATGTAACTTTCCCCCTTAACGGTACCCATTAAATATTTATTCATAGTGATAGGTTTGAGTATTTTCAATATTATTTCATTCTTTATACTTACCAACTATATTTAGCTAGTCTATTTTTAATGGAGCAAAAGAATGTTGGAGAGGTATGCCCCCCCATCTCTGAACACAAAATTCCCTACAAAATGTGCCTTTTACAAATCTCCAGTTACTTAAATATGCCTGCAGGACAAATTCAGACTCTCACAGGCAGCATATGAAAATATCTCTTCTTCTTGACATTTAGAAACAGTTAATGTTTAAATCTTTGTCAATCAGTAGATGAAAAATAGTTAAGCACTAATAATAAATAATTAATCGTTGTTTTAACTTGCTCTGTTTAACCCACTTCATGTGCCTTTCTTTTTTGTGACCAAACTCTACATTTTTCTTGTCTGCTGCACATTTTATTCAATGTTTTTCTTACTGGTTTGTAATGGCACTTTAAATCAAAGAACCATGCAAGACTCACATGCAGAACTTTAAAAAACTCCATGTAACCACTTTTACAAAACATAAAAATCCTTTTTATAAGGATTCTGAACTTTATCTTTTGTTTAGAAAAGCTCTTTTCATTCCTAATTTATTGTTAAAGGATTAAATCATATGGTTTCTCTTTACATATGTATATATATATATTTCTATATATGTGCATACATATTCTTAATTTTACTTGTAAAAGTGTGTATTTTATATAAAGAATAAAATAAGATTTTATTACCTTTGCCAATATACTCCTATGTACCACTACCATTTCTTGACTCACTAAAAATAATCAACTTTACTATAGATTATTTGCTATATATATCAAGGTCTGTGGTCGGTGCAGTAACCTGGAGACAGCTGACTTCCAAGAAAAATGTAGTTAAATCATTTGATTCACAAATTAAAGTATTGAAATGTGAGATAAGTTAGGATTTTCCCCAAAATCCCATTTTTAGTTACTTTTATGTTTTTAAACACTGATTATGTTGGCTCATTTTGACCAATATGTACTTATTGGGACATACGTTGTCATAAATAATGAATTTTCAGGTCATTGTATATTATTACTTTTTTGAAATTTTATTTTCTACTTATTTCTTTTAGGCTATGTCTATTCAATGCACACACATACAGAGGTTATTGACTTCAAAATCATTAAAACACAAATGTCGAGTATTTCTGGCTATCTCTTATCTTAGTGTCTGGATTTGCTGGGAGAAGTATAAACTTCTATTCTAAGAACCTCCTAGAGTCTTTCTAATTAATTCTATTTTTATCTGTTAGCCAGTTTGGGTGGGATTTGTTATTGTTGTTGTTGTAGTTTGTTTTGTTTTGTTGTTTGGTTTGTTTTTTGCCAAACTGAAAAAGGAGAAAACAACAAAGAAACATACCAATGACACTGAACTTTTCGAGGACCAGTAACTCATCTACTCCTTGTTCATAATTTTTCAGATCTGAAACTTTGCCAAACAGAAATATATTCATTTTCTGTGCTGCATAGCAGATTACCACAAACTTGGCAACTTAAAACAATATTAATTATTTCACAGTTTTCATGGGCCAAGAATCTAAGCACAGCTTAGCTAGACCCACTTGAAGGTTGAAATCCAAGGGTTAGCAGTACAGAGTTCACATCTGAAGGTTTAGCTGAGGGAAGGAAGAAGGTACTGGTTCCCAGCCCACTGGGGTTACTCTTTGCAACGCTGGACACAGGACTGCTGCATCTTCCAAGCCAGCAAAGAAAGCAAGGTGCTGTGGCAAACCTTCTATTGAAACAAATCTACAAATCAGCATATATAGCATAACAATCTCTTCACACTCTGTACATAAAGGAATGTCATTGGGTGGCATCCAGTCGCCTTTGATATATCCTTTTGATTAGAAGCAAGTCACAGGTGTGTGTGTGTGTGTGTGTGTGTGTGTGTGTGTGTGTGTGTGTGTGTGTCAGAGAGAGAGAGAGAGAGAGAGAGAGAGAGAGAGAAAGAATCATGAAGTTCCCTTTTGTGACTGTCCCAGAGCTTCCGAGACAATTTCAAACAATGGCATTTCTGGTAAAGCAATCAAAGTATTCCAGAAGAAAGTTTAATAATATTTTTGGTTGTTGCATGAATCCTAATTGGTCTTACAATAAAAACCTGGAGCCAGATATCAGGGTGAAAACTCAAAGATCAGAGAAGCAGAGCAAGCCATAGCTACCACCTCTTACCTCACCAACTCCTCAGCCTGACAGAGCCTCTGCAAGAGAAAGTGAATTCCTGTTTCCTTCTGCCTTATATTCCTTTCTCTGCCCATATCACTTCCTATTTCAACCTTCCTAGTGCTGGGATTAAAAATGTGTGATCCCAAGTGCTGGAATTAAAGGTGTGTGCCACCACTGCCTGACCTCTGTGGCTAACTCTGTGACTGGCTCTGCCCTCTGATCTTTGGGCAAGCTTTATTTCTTAGATGACAAATACATCACCACAGTTGGTAGATGATGACACTCTTGGTACACAGCATTTCTTGTGGCAGAAGAAGATTTAAGTCCCAGTCATTCTGAGTGCTTGATAAGTAGCTACAAACTCAAGGATCACCATTAAAAAGAAATATACTAAAAAGAGAAAAAAAATACTAAGAATAGTGG